TTCCTGCGCAGTGGCAAAGAACCACCATTAATCCCTGTGCTGTATAAACAGGAGACAGAGGTTAGAAAGGGGAAAGTGCAGGAAGCCTACCCCACTGGAGGGCGGCGGGGGTGGGGGGGGCGGATCCTGGGGGCTAGTGTGATACCTTCGAAGTGGACTTTCAGATGTTGGTGGCTTTGTTCAGTCCCTGCCATTCTCTAACCAGAATTAGGGTCAAGATAGACTATAGCAATCCCAGGGAGCAATGCTCTCTCTTCTTTTAAAATTTAAACCTTCAGGTTTCTGGAAGGAGTAACCAGCACTTCTAGTAGCAGCCTCACTGTAGAGGGACACACACACACACACACACACACACACACACACACACACACACACTCCCCTAAGCAGGACCCACTCCCGGGAGCAAGGAATATAATTTGTTGAATGGTGCTACTGGAAAAAGCGGCGACATTACACTTTACGCAGGCAACGGAGGCAGGCAACTGGCCTTGTGACTGCAACCAGCGGCTTTAAGAACACAGTCCTTTCTGCTTGAAGGCAGAGAAGAAATTGTTTTTGCCTCTTTTTCTATTTGCAGTTATTATCCGAGAGGCTTCCCCGACCCCAATCCCCAAGACCATCCTCAGAGTTTCAGGTCATCCACTGGCAGTGCCCAAAGGGGGGGCCCTAGGCAGCCGGTCTGGGGCCAAGGAGGGCGGCTCCCTCCGCGCGGAATCCTTCCCTACTGACTCCCAAATCCGGCGATTTCTCTGCCTGCCTTTCCCTCGGGGGAGACTCTCGGAGAGGCTGCAAAAATCTGGGCGCCCGCTCGCTCGCTTGTCAAGAAGCAAACTGTCTTCACATTCTCCAAGAGCAACATCCCTGCCTAGGAAGAGGAAGGAAGAGGCAAAATAAATAAAACCAGTTAATGTTGTAGTTAACTTGCAAATCAAGTAAATCTGTTGGTGCCGTATTTGAGAAATAAACCATCAGAGCGTCACAGCAAACACACACTTCTGAACGTCTTCATTTTGATTTAATGGTATATCAGCGTCAACTATCGCTTCCTCTGCTGGTACACACGGCCTGATGCCGCGGGAGGAGGGTGCCCATGTTTATCACCGAGTGAGATGACTAATTACACCTTGTCAATCACCGGCTATGAAGACATAAAACCAGCGCGCACAATGAAGTAGTTGCCTGCAGCGTCAATTAGTTGGCGATTCGGAGGTTATTGCGTGGCCCTGCTTTGGCCGCCTCTAATAACGGGACCGAGCGCCGGGAACAGCGCACTGATCAATCACCCTCTTTCCGCGGCTCCCCGGATCCCACCCCCTCGTCCCCCGCCCCGCCCGGCCTCACTTTCTCTGGGCCGCATGTGCTTCCTCCCTCCGCGGCCCAGGCTCCGTGGCGCCGGCAGCCCCGGGAGCCCCGGGAAGTTTGCGCGCGGCAGCTCCGCAGCCGGCAGCCGGGAGCCCCGCAGCCTTCGGGGAGCGCCGGGGCTGGTGGCCCCTTTGTTGGAAGAGGCGTGGAGGGAGCGCTTTTGTTCTGAGTTAGTCACGGTGGCCGGCTGGAGGCTGCTACCTCATTATGCGCCGGGTCTGCTTGTCTGCGAGGAAGCAGATGGTGGGGAGGTAGGCAGCGGCGTGAGTAGCCAGACCTGAATCCGTTCACCTGTCACCTCCCACAAAAGGCAGGTTCTGGGGATTTCGGGATTCTTTTTCCCTATCTGGGGGAGGGGCGTCGAGGGGCCGCCGTTTCCGACGCCTCGGAATATTACTTTTACCTGCTCCCCCTACCCCCTGCCTTCCCCTCGGCTGCGGCTTCTCGCACCGTGTAAATGTCACTCACGTGTCAGGATGTGTGTTTACAGCCTGTTCCTTTCCTTGTTTAGTCTTCACGGACAGGGCTCAGCGGTTGTGCGACGTCCCCCCCACCCCCCACCCCCGCCCCGCCGCTGGGGGAGATTAGCAAAGTTACCCGCCTCTGAGCCCAGGGCTACTAGGGCACCCAGATCCCGCCCCGCGGCGGGAGATGCTTTTGAGTCTCTAGCGGACCCGGGCGCGTCCCAGCCTGACACCTAGGGATGCTTAAGCGGGCGCACCGGCGGGAATCTTGACTGCCAGGGAATTTGGGGTCGGTCAGGGATGGGCGTGGGCTGCAGGTCGGACAGGCGATAAAATCGTGTACTTACATTTGTGAGGGTGGGGGGGAGTGAGGAGCCGCAGGGTGCGTTTCCCAGTTTCTTGAGAAGCCCTCGGCAAGAGTTGCCGAGTGCTCCTCCTCCCCCACCCGCCCCCCTCCTCCTAAAGCAGCCCCTAGAATTCTCGAAAGCGTATTGTATCCATCTAGCCTGGGCGCGGAGCTGCACCAAGGACACCCTCTCCAGCGTTGTTACAATTTTTTCTACCCTTTGGGCGACCTCCAGATGAACCCCGGTGACTCCCAGATTAGGTTTTCATTCCTTACTTTCTTTGAAAGAAAGTGCCCCAGATGCGTCGGTAAAACATGCCTGTGTATACGTGTAGGCGTCCGCGTGCCTGGGCGCGGGCCGTGTGCAGGCGCCAAGGCACACGTCCGTGTGAACACTCGCGCACGCGCGAGTCTTTGGGTTGATGGTCCTTCCGTCGCATTGGGGCATCTGTGCATGTGCAGCGTGTACACACATACTTGTAACTTAAGGAGTTTTTTCAAATACGCAAAACGTGGCCTCGGAGAAGCGCACGCAGTGATTTAGGTAGTATTGTCTGAACATGCAATTGCATGTATAACATGCAATTTACCCGTTTACAAGTGCATCCTCCCGCCTGGCACTGGACACTTACACTTGATGTGTCTGTGTAGACCCTAGCTCTACATCGCTGCCGGTCGTATTTTATGCCAACAGAGATGAACATGTGTGTTTGCACACACGAACACTAGTGCATGTGCTTGGGCAGTACAAGCACACATATATTTATGTTTGAAAGTTACGTCCGGTAGGTAGAAGGTAGGACTTTGTGCCCCCCCCCCCAAGCTCTGCCCTGTAAGATGAACCGCACAGATCAGACTGACCCGCCTCCAAAGCAGACCCAGAAAATGGGACTCTGTCACTGACTTGTTCACTGAGTTTTTCCCCACAGTCACTTTTTATCTCCAAAATCTCAGCTTCACCACACACCTAGGTGTCATCCTTGAGTCCCCAAGAGACTAGGTTGAGCCTGAAGTCTGGGGGCTGGGGTGGCAGTTGAGATTTACCCACAGGCCGGGTTGTTGATCTTGGAGAAGTGGTGCAGTCAGGCGGCAGGGTGGACGTCTGTCAACAGCTGGGTCTGTGGCATGATGCAACCAGCCAGCAGAGGATGGGCCTGTGGTCTTTAGGAACCTCAGGAACGCTGAATGTATGTTGCAGTAGGAAAGTTTTTAATAGGGGGAGATGGAAAAAGAAAAGAGGGAGTGATGAAAGTTTGGTGAGTGCCTACTGTATTCTAGGTACTTTAAATCCATGATCTTTTTTTCTCCATTACATCTGTGTGGAGGGTGCTGTCTTGGCCCTCGGTGGAAAGATCAGAAACAGGCTAAAGGAAGTTAAGTCACTTGCCTAAGGTTACATTGCACGTAAATGGCAGAACTGGGATTCGAACCTATTCCTTTCCTAGTCCCTAAAGCCATGCGCCCGTCCACTCTTCCAGGCTGCGGAGGGACAGGGAAGTCAGGAATGAGCTACACGCTCCCATAAAGTGGGCCCTAGCTTGCTTGGAGCGAGGCTGTTCCGGCTGGCCCTCCTCTCCCCGGAGTCTTAACAGCTCCCGCTGGCTCTTGCCGCTCTGGCTCAGCCCGGTCCTCAGGAGGCCTGCGCGTCCGCCCGCAACCCGCAGCGCGGAGCCTGGGCCGAAGGCTGAGCTCCGCGGGAAGCAGCCGAAGGCTCCCGCAGCTCTGCCCCAGGCTTGCCTTCCCAAGCCTCCCCAGCCGGTGCCCGAGGCGGCGGCTCTGGGCCGAGGGGAGACCCGAGTGAGAGCTCCTCAAGCATCCTCTGGCTGCGCCTTCTTAGGATGGAGACGGCGGGGAGAGAGGGTTTAATTTTCCGTCCCAAAGAATCGCAGGAAACTGTTCGTAGCTTAAAAACTCCAAACCCCGCGCTCTCCCTCCTCCCTCCTTTCCTCCCGCCCCCTCCCTCCAGCCTTGCCCACCGGCTCCCACCATCTCGTCGCTCCTCTCCTCCTCCTGCTTCTCCCCTCCCTCTCGGGTCTCCCGCCTTCCCGGAGCACGCGCTGCCAGGGCCCGGGGTGCTGGGCGGCCAATGGCGCGGCGGCAGGACGTGATGTAAGGCGCGGCTGTAGAAAAGGCGCGGACGCTTGGCTGGCGCGGACTGCAGAGCCGGGGCTGGGCTCGGCGCGCTCTTGGAGAGCATTGCGCGCGGCTGGGCCCGCGGTCGGCGGCTCCACCTCCCACTCTGCTCCTCCTCCTTTTTCTCCTCCTCCTCCTCCTCCTCCTCCTCCTCCTCCTCCTCCTCCACCACCACCACCACCACCACCACCACCACCACCACTACCTCCTCCTCCTCCTCCTCCTCTTCCTCCTCCTCTTCAATTCTCTCGGTGTCTCGGCTCGGCTCGCTGGCTTCGGAGAAACCCGTACTACAGTCGCCGACCCAGCGCCTAAGAGGGTCGCCTAGGGCTGGGGGCACACCCCAGGGAGGGGAGAGGTCCAGGCAGCTGGGCCGCCGCGGGCACCTAGCCGTTCCCGAGTGAGCCCCGACCGCAGCCGTCGCCGCCTCGGGCAGAGTTTGCGCTCCTGCTTTGCGCCCCGGGCGCTGAAGCCGGGCGGGCGATGCCCGCGGCGTGAAAGCGCCCGCGGCGGGCGCCGACCTCTGCCCTCGGCTTCCCCCTTCCCGGCCCCCCCCCCCCCCGCCCCTGGCCCTTGTGACCCTGGCTTTGGCGCCGCCGCCCAGGCGCCCCGCGATGTAGCTGCCCCTGCGCCTCGGCGGGAGGCGTCCTGGCCCGCGGGCGCCCGGGGCCTGGAGCCCGGCCTGGGGGCGCAGCCGAGCTCGGGCGGGGCCGGGGCCGCGGTGGCGATGCACCGGGCCCGTTAGCGCCGGGAGCGCCAGGCAGCTGAGGCGGGGGGCAAGCCCTCCCGCGGAGGAGCCGCGCCCCCGGCCCCGCCGGTCCCGCCGCGATGCTGTTCCACAGTCTGTCGGGCCCCGAGGTGCACGGGGTCATCGACGAGATGGACCGCAGGGCCAAGAGCGAGGCTCCCGCCATCAGCTCCGCCATCGACCGCGGCGACACGGAGACGGTAGGCGCACGGCTGCGGGGTCGGGGCTGAAAGCTGGGACGGGGCCGGGTCGGTCCGCGCTTCTGCTCTCCGAAGTTTGGGGGCACTTTGGGGAGCGTCCTTCGTGCCGCACGGGACTGGGCGCTGGGGATCCGCGGACAGGATGCAAGGCCCGTAGCTCCCGGCTCGGGGGAAACCCGGCTGCTGGGGCGGAGGAGGGAAACAAGGTTTAAACCGAAATTTCAGACCCCGAGGGTGCAAGAGAGCATTTCTCCCGAAGTGGGAGCGAAGTCCTACCCGCGTCCCGGGATGGCCCTCTTCTCACTACACCGGGCCCCTCTGGTCGCCAGCTCCGCGTTCCCCTCCACTACTCGGCTGTAGCTGCTGGCGGCGCCGCCTGCGGCGCTGGGAAAGGCGAACCAAACGGGAGCACTGGGGCTCCAGCCGGCGTGGGCCGCTCGCGTCCCGCCTCCTGGCAATCGGAGTTCCCTCCCCAGCACAATTTCAGGGGTCCAAGTCTTCTGGGCCAGTGCTTTTCGTTGATCACGCCCCTGGCCTCCTGGCCGACCGACCTGGCCAGGCCAGGCCAGGCCAGGGCTGGGACTTCAGGCCCTGGCCTGGCTCTTGTGGAAGGGGAGTCCATTTGGATCTCCACACCTGGCTTTGCCAGCCCAGCTCCAAATAGCCAGTTCCTCACCTCAGACCTCCCAGAGGGCCAGGCAAGCAGTCGCTATCCAAGTTGGGCCCAGAAGTGACCTTTAGAGGCCAGGCCGAGGAGGTGGGGAGAAGGAGGGAAGCCTCTCCACTTGGAAAGCAAGGGCAGCAGCCTCAGTGCCTCCGGCTTCTGAGTTCTTCTTCCTGGATTAAACTCTCATTCTGTCCTGCACTCGGAGACTTTGAGGGTGCCTCTGCACTCCACTCACCATCTCCCAGAACCCAAGAGGGCCCCAGCCAGTGTGGCCAAGGTAGTGGAGGGGCAGACGTGGCTGCGACCTGTCCTGGCCTAAACCTTTGGCATACGGATCCAGAGATCACTGGGGCTCGGGGCCAGGAACTCTGTGTGTCTCCCGAGAGGAGAGGAGTCTGTGTAGAGAGAGGGGGACTTTTAATGGTCATCTTACCCCTTTTCCTGGGGCCCAGCAGAGTGGCTCCTTTAAGAAACAGTTTTGAGAGAGCTTTTGGAGGGCTTGACTGGAGTAGCCACTGCTGCCCCAGCCCTCAAACACAGCCCAAGCCTTTCTGGGAAAAGGGCAGAGGGGGCAGGAAGGGGGAGAACTAAGGAGGGAGATCCGTCCAGGCCAGCAGCCAGGCCTGGGCCTGTGGCCGGCTTGGGCTGTGTGGGCGGGCCTGGGTTCTGAGCCTCCTCACTATGGGCCTTTTGGGGACGAGGAAGCCACCGCACACCCCGGCGGCCCTCTCCGGGTTTAGGGCTAGCCAGAGCAACCGGGGGGGAGCTGAGGGTGCCCGTTTCCAAGCGGTGGTGAAGTCGCAGGCTGACGCAGGCGCTGCGGTCTCCCGCCTCCCTCCCTCCGCAGACCATGCCGTCCATCAGCAGTGACCGAGCCGCGCTGTGCGCTGGCTGCGGGGGCAAGATCTCAGACCGCTACTACCTGCTGGCGGTGGACAAGCAGTGGCACATGCGCTGCCTCAAGTGCTGCGAGTGCAAGCTCAACCTGGAGTCGGAGCTCACCTGTTTCAGCAAGGATGGGAGCATCTACTGCAAGGAAGACTACTACAGGTACCCCCAACTCAGGACCCTCTGCCTCCCAGGACCCCCTAATCTCAGACACAATCTGACCCGGTCTTCTTGGCCTCCAGTCCCAAGGGAGGGTTCCCCACCTGGGTCCCCCCTTCTCCAAGCCAGTACAAATGGGGTGACAACCTTTTCAAACAGGAATTTGAGGGAACTCCTGGAAAGGTCTGAGAACTATAGGGACCCAGAGTAAAGGGCTCTCTTCTGAGCTTAGACCATAAATAAGCTTGGGTTGGAGGGGGGGGTCTTTGCACCCCTCTCCCTTTGAAGTTTCTTGGGTCAAGCAGAGGGAACAGAAACAGGCAGCACCACCTCCCCCCCACACCAAGCCCAGGCAGCCTGGGCTGGTGTGCGACAAAGTTGGAGGGAGAGCTGGGGGATCAGTTGGGTGCGTTTCCGGGTCTTTCGTGGAGATGGGGGTGAAAGCTGCCTGTAGGGTTAAAGAGCCAGAGTCACTAACAGGCTACAAGTTTCTTGTTTCTCCCCTCTGGTTTAGGGTTAGGGTCTGTTTATATTCCTTCTCTCTCTCTCTCTCTCTCTCTCTCTCTCTCTCTCTGTCTCTTTCTCCCTTCCCCTCTCTCTTTTTCCCTGTCTCTGTTCCCCCCTCCCCCCTGCCAAATTACAAAAGTCTGTAGGATTGTCAGGTACCGGTATGGAGGGCAGGGGTAAAGGTTGAGAAAGGGTAAGTGGGTAGCCCCCCCTCTCCCTGCGTTCCCAAGCAAAGGCTTTCCTGGGGCTTGCCCAGACTCTGGGTAAGGTCGAAGCATTGTGGACATACATATGCTTAAGGGAAACTGTATTTTAGGGTAGGACAAGACCTGGGCCAAAATCTAGTTCCCTCTTTCCCCATCCTCCAACTTAAGACTGGTTCCCATTTTAAGGAGTAGATCTCCCCCCGTGGCAGCAGCGGCACCTGGAGGAGGGATATGGGGGGTACCCAACCGTGTGTCCCCACAGTCCCTCCCTCCATGGTCCCTACAGGCGGTTCTCTGTGCAGCGCTGCGCCCGCTGCCACCTGGGCATCTCGGCCTCGGAGATGGTGATGCGTGCTCGGGACTTGGTTTATCACCTCAACTGCTTCACATGCACCACGTGTAACAAGATGCTGACCACGGGTGACCACTTCGGCATGAAGGACAGCCTGGTCTACTGCCGCTTGCACTTCGAAGCGCTGCTGCAGGGCGAGTACCCCGCGCACTTCAACCACGCCGACGTGGCGGCAGCGGCAGCCGCAGCGGCGGCGGCCAAGAGCGCCGGGCTGGGCGCAGCCGGGGCCAATCCGCTGGGTCTTCCCTACTACAATGGCGTGGGCACGGTGCAGAAGGGGCGGCCGAGGAAGCGCAAGAGCCCCGGCCCCGGGGCGGATCTGGCGGCCTACAACGCTGGTGAGTTCGAGGCGCACCGAGCGCCCCCGTCGGGTTGGGGGAAAGTGCGTGGCTGACCACCGCCTGAAGCCGGAGTGAATCTCAGTGTGATACGCATATGTATATATCACTCTGGGTGCTCTAGTCCTTAGATTCCCCAGACCCTAGGTGCCACAGGACTTAGCAGAAGGGACGTTTAGGCTCCTCGGCTCCAGCCTCCGCGCACTTGGCTGGGGTGGAAGGAGAAGGTTCATTAGAGTCTTGCTGACCCCGGTGCAGGGCCTCGTCGCTGAGAGAATTTTTAGAGGCAGTTTTTTGGTTTGGGCCTCTCCCCCACTTTGTTGGTCCGAAAGCGTGAGGATAGAGAAAGCAAGGAGGAGCCGGCACCAAACAGGCTCTGGGTTGGCGGGGCTGAGGACAGGGAGCTGTGGCGATGGATGAAGGAGGCAGGGCAGCGACGGTCCCAAGAGAAAGGACTGGTGGTGGCCTGGGGTAACTTGCTGGGCCTGGCGTTGGGCCTGTCAGGTGAAATGTACTGAGGGCAGCAGGCTCCGGAAACTTGGGCCCAGGACCCTTATGAACAAGAGCGGGTCACTGTGCCCCGTGGATCCTCTGGCTCCGCCAGGTCTCGATTTTCCCCGGGCTCCTTCCTCGGAGTTCTGGGCGCCAGCGGGGTGCTGGGATGAGAGCGGCGACCCTTGGAGGCCGGCGCCCGGGGATGAGAAGACCTGAGTAGGCCTGGCCTCTCACGGAGTCGGGTGGAGGGCTCATTTCACATTTCCGGCATCTCAGAACCCCAAGCCTTTCCAGGAGAGGCTCTGCCCCCTCCCGCACCCCTCCCCGCTCTGGACAGCTGTGGAGGTTCTGGGGCCCGGCAAATTGAACCGTCAACATCTGCCCGATGTCTGCAAGGCCGGGAAAGGTTTATGACTCCCCGGGCTTCTGAACTAGATAGAGTTTATTTGCAATTATTTTCTTTCTTTCGTTTGCGACAGAATCGGATTCCGGGATTTTGTTTTCTTCCTCCTTTTCCCCTTAGTCTAACGCGCAAGTGGAAACAAAACAAAACAAAAACCCAGGATTGGGGGGAGAGGGCAGCGTGGGGAAGAAGTCAGGGTTATTTTGATCTTTAAAAATCTGAGCTGGCTGGGGAAGAAAATTCAGCCAGGGGCAGGGTGGGGTGGGGGTTGTCCCCTGTTCGATCCAACGAAGTTGCTTGTTGGAAGATGGATGGGTGTATGTGTCTCAGTGTGTGGAGTTGGGAGGAAAACGCAGCCCCCAGTCTGGTAAATGGTGAAGTGGCCGCAGACAGGTCTGTGGCGGCAGATTAAAGATTTGTCGAAGGTTCTGCCGGAGATGCCGGCTCTCAAAAACTTCCATCCTTCATCTCTCAGCACCCTGAAAATAAACTAAATCGGGTCCAGGCCGGGTCCCCCACCCCCCAAACAAAGCCACGTCTATTTATCAAATGGGGTCGGCCCCCAGTAGGAAGCAGCAGGCTGACTCGGCCGCAGAGCGCGTGGGGAGTGGGATCATGTTTTTCTGGGTAGGCAGGTTTGCAACTGGGTTTGGAATTGAAAGGCAGAAGAGTTTCCGAAATTTATTTGTGCTTCTTGCTGCTCTGCCGCCTTCGCTGGCGAGGTCCGGCGGCACCGAGCGAGAAGATGTGGCTGGAGGCTGAGTTTCAAGGGATCTGGCACCACTACAAGGCATTCCCCACCCGTGCCATCTCCTCGGTTTTGGTTTTTTGTTTTTCTTTGACCCTTCTCTCTTCTTTACCTTTCAACTCTCTCGATCCCCCTTTCTCTCTGTCTCTCTCCCTCTGTGTGTTTTTGTCTGGGTTTCTCTGTTCCGGTCTTTTTCTCTCTCCCGGCGCGCGTCTCTGGCCTTGACTCAGGCGGAAGAAACCGCACACGGCGCGCCGGCGGCGGCGGCCGCGCCGCTCGCGTATTCGGGGCTCCCGGGGCCGGCTTGGGAAAAGGGGGCGCCTCCCTGGCCGCGCCGGGCCCAGCCAGGCCTCCCCGGGTCTGGCTGCCGGTCTCCTCCTCTCCCCGCACCGGGCAGGAGAGAAATGGCCGCAGTGTGGGCCGTGGGGCGGCTGGAAAGGGCACCGTGGAGGGTGGAGGGTGCACTGCGGGTCGTGTGTATGGGCAAGAGCGTGTGTGCGTGTTTCTGACCGTTGAGGACACGAGCTTGCTGGTGTGCGTGTCCCACACCCGGGAGCCCAGCTACACCGACCCCTTGCAAAGCCCTTCGCTCTGTGGGCCAGTCCGGTGGCGGAGCGGCGGCACCTTATTCCAGGGCGGCGAGCTCGGGCAGACTGGGGAGGGACGGCCGTCGGTGCGCCCAGCCCGCCGCCTGGGGAAGGGCAGCCAAAGCGGCGGGGCCGGAGGGTCGGAAAGTCCTTCCGGGGCGGTGGCCGCGGCAGCCCTGCTCCGGCTGGGCTGCCCCTCGGGTCCGAGAGCGCAGCCCCGGTCCCAGAGGCAGAAGGAAACCCCTGAGCGGGGTTGCCAGCGGGCCGGGGCGCGGACGAGGCCCGGGCCGCGCACTTTGCGCCGGGGTTTGTAAGCCACGGCCGCGGGAGTCCCGCGCGGACCGGCCGGACGCCCGGGCCTCCCCCAGCCCCAGCTTTTTGTGTGTGTGCCTGGCGGCGTAATTACTGATTTGATTCCAATCCATTATTTAGACAATTGAACCTACAATCTCGTCTTTAGTAAAATGAGGCGAAGTCAGATTTGATTACAGGTTCAGTCCCAGCGACAAGAGCTCGAAACCCGATGGGTTAATAACAGATCACGAGTAAATTATTCATGATTTTACGAGCTCTTTAGCTCCATTGAATCGGCCTAATTGAGAGGAAAAAAAAAAAAAAAAGGAGAGAGAAAGCCTGTTCCTCCCCCTCCCCTCAGCCCCTCGCTCCTCCCCGGATCCGATCTTGGGGAATCTCGACCCGGCCGGGGCGTGGGGAGGGAGGCGGGAGTGAGGGCGCCTGGGGTACCGGACAAATCTGGACTCAACGGCTGCTTCCCGGCTGCTTTCACTCCCCCAGCGCAGCCCCCCCTGCCCGGGCCACTGGCCACCTCGGCCTCCCAATCTTGGGCCAGCTCCTTTTCTGCCCTCCCCTCTTTTCCCCTCTCTCCCCTTTTCGCCACTCCCCGGCCAGTAACGGCTCTGGAATACGCTTCCCCGAAGGGACCTGGTTTCCTTGAGATCCGGGATTCTGTTCCTTAACCTGGGCCCTCCACCACACAGTCCTCCTTTTTTCCCAGGCCTCGCTGTCCCCTCAGGCTCTCTCTGTGTCTTTTCCTGATTTTTTTTCTGTCTTTGTAGCTGTCTCTCTCCGGTTCTCCCCATCTCCACTGTTTCCTTTTCCTCCGTCTCTCCTCTCTTTCTTCCTGGCCCTGTCCACCTCCCCTCCCTCCCCCCTCTCCTTTACTCTCTCTCCCTTCTGTCTGTCTTTCTACCTCTGTGTCTTTCTCTCCTTTCTGTGCCCTTTCTGTCTCCCTCCCCCAAACCACCTCCTCCCGTCTAGGCCGCACTCAGGGCACGTCCCTTGGGTGAATGGGGCGCCGGGGTCCCCACGGAGCTCATTAAGAGCAGCAAGGCCCAGGCGGGGACTGGGCAGAGGGATGGGCCCAGAGATCCCCCGTGGGGAGGCCTGCCCCCCCCCCCCCCCCCCCCCCCCCCCCCCCCGTGGAGCTGGGGACTGGGGGCAAGGAGAGGGTCGCTCCCTGCAGTGGGGGCAGGGCAGTTTCCATGGATTCTGTTTGGAGTCATTTTCTGATCCCTTTTAAATTGCTGGACCCCCGTTCTTCACCCTGGGCGCTCTCAGTGGGAGTACAGCCCTGGTGGGGGACTTGGGTGCCTGGGTGCATGTGGGAAGGGACGCTTAGGAAGTGTAGCCACTTGCTGACAGCTTCAAGATTTGTGACAAGACCAGCATCTTGCAAATTCTTTCTGCAAAGGACTGTTCCCCACCTGAGCAGTGGGTGGAGTAGGTCACCAGGAGATCGGGAGTACTTCTGAAGTGGTTTTGCCAGATAAAATGCAGGACATCCAATTACACTTGAATTTCAGGTAAACAACAAATACATTTTTTAGTGTGAGTATCTGGTGCAGTATTTGAATTTTAAATACATGAGTAATTTTTTAGTGTAATTGTATCCAATGCAATATTTGGATTTTAGGTAAACAGCAAATTAATTTTTCAGTATAGGTATGTCCCATGCAAAATTAAAGCCGTACTAAAAAACTGTTCGTTGTTTATCTGAAATTCAGATTTAACTGGATGTCCTGCATTTTTATTTGCTAAATCTAGCAGCTCTGTTACGGGCATGTGATGGGGCACAAGACATATTCCCAGTTGTCCGCTTTAAGGGGACTGAATTGATCTCCTCTGAGGTTTTCCCCAAACTAAGACTTTACATGTAGGATGGCTGGGGATGTGATGAAGGAATCTTGGAGTTCTTGATGTCCCCATCAGGCACCAGGTTACCAAGCAACTTTCTGAGGCCTTAGGTTTCCACCCCTGTCCCTCACCCCCGTTGCCTTCCAGGCATCGGCAGCCAGGCCCCAGCTGGGCCCCTTCTGGATGGGGACCGGCTCCCCAAAGAGTCGTGCGTCATCTTTGCCTGCCTTTGTGGCGTGGTGGAAGGAAACGGGCAAGGACTGCAATACTGAATCTAGGCTCAGCCCTTACCAGTGGTGTGGCTGTGTACACATGGCTTCATTTCCCTTCGCAGGAGTTTCCTCATTTCAAAAATGGGATGAAAAGCAGTAGCCACCTCTTGGAGCAGTAGTGAAGGCCCTATGATGTATGTAAAGCCAAAAGCATACCCTCGGTGTCAGATACATGTCAATTTCTTCCTCCAACTTCCTTCTGTTTCGGGTTAGAATCCTACCACTCCGTGAGATTTCTAGAGATCGCTTAACCTCTCTGGCCCCTTCAGCCCATTTGTGTAACTGGAAAACAAGTACTTCCCAGGGCAGTGGTGAGGATGAGGATTAAACTGCGAGATACAATTTCCGACCTTAGCCCAGTGCCGGCGGCCCAGTGTCATCCAGAACTTCTGGTTTGGGGAACCGATGAGGGTGAAATCAAAGTGAGTGGAGAGATGTCAGTCAGTCATCCACTTTCAGGTGCCGGGTGCCGACACTGTCGGGGGGAGACAGCCTCCCTCCTTAGAGAGTGCAGGGGGAAACAGGAAGAGTGTGGGCCCAGGAGTCCTGAACACTGCTCTGTATTCAAGTCAAGTGACTCCCGTTTCTAATCCTCAGTTTCAACGTTTGTAAAAAGGAGGAAATAATGCTAGGCTCTTAGAGTTGTTTTAAGGATTCGGTGAAAATATATAAAGCCTTTACGCACATCATCCATCTGGAGTCGAGTAGCCATCAACAAGTTGTAGCTGTTGGTTGTTATTATTCTGACACGATGGCACAGAATGGTTTTTGGATTCTCTTAGAGCTGGGTTTGAATCCCGCCATTTCCTAGCTGAGTGACTCGGGCAGGTGGCTCTCGGGGAGCCTCGGGCTCTCCTATAGATCTAGAAGATGGGGATAATATTTTCACCTCAGCGCGGTGCAGTTCCCGCTGTGTGGTCCTGAGGCTAGAAACATTTGGTGGCAGGTGGGGCGGTGTAGGGGGCAGGTCAGGAGGTTCACCCGCCGCCTCTGCGTCCCCTCCCCAGCGCTGAGCTGCAACGAGAACGACGCGGAGCACCTGGACCGCGACCAGCCCTACCCGAGCAGCCAGAAGACAAAGCGCATGCGCACCTCCTTCAAGCACCACCAGCTTCGGACCATGAAGTCTTACTTTGCCATTAACCACAACCCCGACGCCAAGGACTTGAAGCAGCTTGCGCAAAAGACGGGCCTCACCAAACGGGTCCTCCAGGTCAGCTGGGCCGGGACAGGGGATGAGGGCGGGGGCACCTGGGGCCTGCAGGGCCTGCGGCCGAACCCCGAACCCCGTAGCTGCCATGGGCTTTGGAAGGACCTTCCATTCTATGTGTGCCCTTCTCTTTGTCACTCTCTACCCTTTCTCCACCTCCTCAGACTCTAGCTGTATTTCAGGGATTTTTTTTCTTTCTAACTTTTCCTCTTCTCTTCCAATTTTTGTCTAATCTTTCTATTTTGTGTATGCGTGTCCCTCTTCCTCTTTGTCTCTACACTCAGCCTCTTTCTTTCTTGTAAACACTTCTTAGTTGCTCTTTATTACTAGAGTGACACTCAAATATGTTCACGTAGTAAAAGGTTCAAGCATTTCAGATAAACCCAGCGCATCCCAGGATGGCTGTCCAAGCTAATTGCTGTTAGCTCTTTCCTCCTTCTGCTTCTTTTCCTGACTTGCCGTCTCCAGTTTCTCTTTCTTTCTCTAGATTTTTCTTCTGTCTCTTTGTTGTTTCTTAGACTCTCCCAGAAGCAAGGTTGGGGGGGGGGTTGTGGGCTGATCCCCTGGGTGGGCCCGGGAGGCTCATCTGCCTGCAGGGAGCTGGAGGCAGATGGGCACCTCTGAAACTGCGCAGAATTGCACTTGTATGTGAGGGCGCTTTCCGGATAGAGGATCCAGAGCTTTCCCTATACTTTGAAGGTCCCGTCCCTACCTCAGAGACGTTAAGAAGCCCAGTTTGGGGAGTCCCAGGCTCCTGTTTGACCCAGATTCATGGCAGGGATTTGGAGTAGCACTTCTCAAATCTTTAGCTCTCCCTGTTACTCGTTTCACAGTCCTGGGCAAATCATTTAACCCCTCTGGGCCTCAGTTCCCTCATATGTGAAACGGACGCAAGAAATTATCTTGCTGCAGGCTTATTTAAGGAGCCATTGAGATGAGGAGGTGTCCACCACGGTAGCTGACACGTATCTGCTCAGTGGATGGTAGCTAAGAATAACATGAGCTAGGTTAAGAAGTCAACTGGTATTAAGTAGGAGGAGCGATTCTTCTGGTCACTGGACTTCAGTTTCCCCATCTGTACAGCGATAAGGTGGGACAGCATCTTTCTTTATAGCACAATGTAACCAGTTTATTCTTTAGAACCTGTGGCTGTGGGGAGAGCAATTTACATTTGGGGGGGAGGAAATTGAGGGAGGAAGATCTGACCAGAGTCTCACAACTGGAGGGGAGGTACTGAGATTCAAGTCCAGGCCAGTCTGATCTCCCCCTCCAGCCCCAGGTGGTTGGGGACTTAGGGCTGGGGGACTGCAACACTGCGGGGCGGGGGGGGGGGGGGGGGGGGGTAGGTAGTGAGAATGACGATAATGGAAACCAAGGGCTGCGCAGTCACCCTAAGATCTCCTGCGAGTCTGTCATGGGGAGGGGGAAGCTTTTTGGGTGTGATGGCGGCGGCGGGATGGACTGTGACTGGGGCGCTGGTTGGTTGATTCCTGTAGTGGGGCCTGCACCCCTGCGCAACGCGAGGGGAGCCCGTCTCTGGAGGGCTCAATGACGTACCTGAGGGAGTTGAGTGCTGGCCAATGGGGCACCGATGCGCCTCTCTGGGCCCGCCCCCTACCCCGGGGCTCCGCTCCTTGTGGGACGCTCCCGTCCTTGCGTCCCTTTTGTCTGAGGGGTCCCTCTGGCCTGGGCTTGAGAAGGGGTGAGGACGTTGCTGCGCCTGACTGGGTCTCAGATTCCCCCTTGTCCATTTCCCTTGGACTTGACCTTCTTGGGTTAAGTCTGGGGACCCTTCTTGGCAACCCCCCCCCCCCCCAACACACACACCGCCATTCCTCAGCCCTGGGTGAATCTGGTCATCAGCCTCTTCTCTGGTTATTAGGATACTTTGTCCCTTCCCCTCTCTAGAGCCCCTTATGGCGTGTTGGTGGGGGCCATTTGGTGAATCAGGCCAGGACAGGAGCAGGCACTTGGAGTCAAGCAGAGAGCTCGGTTCAGGAGGGCCTCGGTTCAGTTCTGTCCCTCTACTCACTCACTGGCTGTGCATTTTAAACAAATTAGTTACCCTCTCTGAGCCATAGCTTTCTCACCTATATAATGGGCACCATTAGGACCTATACCTCTCCCTGTTATCCTGACTAAATGATAGAGACTAAGTGTCCATCGTTGAGTCTGAATCCGCATAAGGAGCCACACTCTGCTGGCCTTTGAGGCAAGAGGCTTGGTTACCTGATTTAGGAACAAATCGGATTTCCAGTATCGTTGTCTCTCATTCTTTCATCTGGCCAAATATCTATTGGCACCTTGGGGTGCCGACATCTATTGGCCTTGGAGACACAGAGATGAATGAACCACAGTCCTGGCCCAGAAGAAACTCACCTATTAGCTGTAGAGACAGACCCACATTCGGTTTCTCTGTAGTGTGATCAGTTGGGAGGGGCGTTCTGTTGGAGACCAGAGGAAGAACTAACTGTTCTTTGTTTAAGGGAAGGTTCACCAGAGGGACCTGGGTGAATGCTTGCCCTGAGCCTTCCTCCCCTACAATCCCGAGCCAGGCCTGCTCACACCTGTGTGTCCCCTCTACCATGGGGACTCAGAAAAGCCAGGGACATGGAACTAGCTGAGAGAGAAGAGCACGGACAGTCATGGTGGGTCTACCGATCAATGAATGTTTGAGTGCACTACTGTGTGTCAGGCACTTTGAAAGGCCCGTGAAATACATTTGCTCATTGAGTTCTCACTGGTAGGCATCATGATAACCTCCTCCCCACTGCACAGATGAGAACATTGAGGCCCAAATGCTTTCCACTTGCCCCAAGTCATACTTTGCTAGTAAGTAGCAGAGCTGGACCCAAATCCAGGCCTGTCTGGTCCATGGATGTAGCTCTTTCTCCACTAAGCCAACCCGGCAGTGCCCGCTCCTGAGTGGGAGGATCATGTAGGGCCCGTATGTTGCTGGGAGTGGGGGCGTACCAGACCACTTTTCTCCCTCTTCTCAGACATCCATGTCTCTTGCACTGATCCTTAATAGTCCCTAAAGCACAACTGTTCATGATTATGCAGCAGTTTGCAAAACATTATCTTTCCAGCCACTCATCTACCTTCCCTTAATGTTTTCCTGCCCATGTTACAGATGAGAAGCTTAAGAAGTAGCGAGATGAAGTGATTTGCTGGAGGTCTCAGGAGCCAGGCATTGGCAGGGTGGGGCTCTCTCCCAGGGGTTCTAACTGCTGCTGGGCCAGCTGGGGGAGGCGGGGTGAGGGCAGTTTGGGCCAGGCAGGTGGTGGTGTGGCTTTGGAAGGTAACAGAGTGGTTCAGATCCTTTTGGACTTACCAGCAGTGTGATTTAGGCACTTTAACATCTCCTCCTGGAGCCCGATTACTTATCTACGAAACGAAGGTAATAATAGTTTGTATCTTGAGAACTGAGGATGGAGAAGGCGTTGGCAGCGTGCTGCCTGCTACAAAGTAGGTGCCCATGAAATGGTTCCTCATCACTTGTCTGCACCAGCTTAATGGTACTAGGCCTTGGGGACCCCGTGGAGGTGGTGGTCTACCTCCACCCTTTGGAGAGAGTCTGTGTGGCAGGGACAGGTTGAGATTGAGGCTGTGTTCCCAGAGGTCGGTGATATAGGGTGTGTGTGTGTGTGTGTGTGTGTGTGTGTGTGTGTGTGTGTGTAAGTTTTCTGGGCTGTTCCTGGATCTGTAATGCAGAAGCACCATCAATATGGGAGGCCTGGGATGCAGTAACCCTGCTGGAATTTGGAGTCAGTTGATGTGAGGTCCAGGCTCAGCTGTCTCACCTACTTTCTGAGCAATATTGAGCAAGTGACTTAACCTCTCTGGGCCCCAGCAGCCTCAGCTATAAAATGGAGACGATACTAATACTCACTGGGTGTTTGCAAGGAGCCAATGAGATGACTTCAAGTGTAATGTATAAAGTACAGATTAGGGGGGCGCCTGGGTGGCTCAGTTGGTTGAGCGTCCGACTTTGGCTCAGGTCATCATCTCACAGCTCGTGAGTTTGAGACCCGCGTCAGGCTCTGTGCTGACAGCTCGGAGCCTGGAGCCTGCTTCACATTCTGTCTCCCCCTCTCTCTGCCCCTACCCCACTCATGCTCTGTCTCTCTCTCTGTGTCAAAAATAAATAAAAACATGGGGCGCCTGGGTGGCTCAGTTGGTTAAGCATCCAACTTCAGCTCAGATCATGATCTCACGGTCCGTGAGTTCTAGCCCCACGTCGGGCTCTGTGCTGTCAGTTCAGAGCCTGGATCCTGCTTCAGATTCTGCATCTCCCTCTCTCTCTGCCTCTCCCCTGCTCATACTCTGTCTCTCTATATCAAAAAATGAATAAATGTTAAAAAATAAATAAATAAAAGCATTAAAAAAATTTACAGTTAGGGAGGACTTCACACACACTTTTATACAGTAGGGCTCAGTCAACCTACCTCTCATACACAATAAAAAAATTTAATTATCTTTATTTTGCAGATGAAGAAACTGAGGTTCAGAGAGACTAGGACCCTAGCCCTAAGTCCCACAGCTAGTAAGTGAGGAAGCCAGGAGTCGAGCCTAGATCGGTCTGATTCCACAGCTCTTTCCAGCATCGCCCAGTGTAGGGCTGTGGCCCTCCCGCCTTGGGTCTAGCTGTAGAATGCAGCGGTACAGGTGGAGAGAAGGGAAGGGAAGGGGCGGGTCATAGATGCCATGTCTTGGTAGCAAAGCATGGATCCTGCTCTAAAGCCGTAAATGCATAAAAAGTGCTCAAAATTGTCATCACGGCACGGCCACCACAATTCTCACATTCTACCAGCGGGCGAGGTCACTGGGAGAGAGAATGGTCCCTTGGACAGAGGTCCACGAAGGCCTTAAGCTTTGTAAATGCTTGCAGACCTTCCCGCAGCACATAGATGTCCGTCTGAGCAGTCCCTCTTCCTTCCTGGGGAAGGGTCAGGAAGGCAGAGTAGGCCAGGCTTCGGGACAGGGGAGGTGAGCTGACTGAT